AAAAAAAAAAAAAAAAAAAAAAAGAAAAAAAGAAAAAAAGGAAAAATTGTCGCGGAAGAGTCGCGTCGTTTTTTCGAATCGATTTTCTTTTTTTTAATCGGGGGATCGGGTCTAACGAGAAGCATTCCGAGAGGAGAAATCCGGTTTCAAATGATTTCGATCGTATTCTAAATTGTCCGCCTTCTTTTCTTTCCTTTCCAGTTGATTTTCAGTGGCGAGTACACGAAGGCGATGAGCAAGGATTGGCACAGCGGCCACTTCTGTTGCTGGCAGTGCGACGAGTCTTTGACCGGGCAACGCTACGTGCTGAGGGACGAGCACCCTTACTGCATCAAGTGCTACGAGAGCGTATTCGCGAATGGGTGCGAGGAGTGCAACAAAATCATCGGTATCGATTCCAAGGTACGATACGCTTTTACTCCTCCTCCTAAATAATTCCTTTCTCCTTTTCGATTTATTCGAAATATCCTTCGAAATATCCATTTTTTTTTTCTTTCCCTTAATTTTCTCAATTACGTCGTTTCGTTAACGCGCCCGATGGAAATAGATCTTTCGCGAGACGACGACGATTCGTGGATTTGGATACGATCCAAACGAGAGCAGAAAACGAATCTAGTTTTCCCCTAAATTTAGATTCGCGGCACACGGCACTGGTTGATCGATCGGTTCAGCTTCTTCGGCGCGAGGAAGATCGAGAAAGAGAGAGAGAGAGAGAGAGAGAGATCTTTTCGAGGAATTTCCGAGAGTGTCGCGCAAAAAATCGGTAATTATCAGTTCGTGTGTAACGACGAGGTGGCGATACGAGCATGGGCGTTGACTTACTCATTCCTAGAAATAGAAACGATGATGCAGGTGCCCGTGTTCGAAGAGATTATTTCCGTTTCTCTCGTTGCCTCCTGTCGTTGTTATTTCTTGTCTAGAGGGAAGCCAGAAATCCAACTGGAAATGTACGGATCTACGCGTAAATTTTTTCTCTAAACGCAGCCCCCCCTCCCCCTCCTCTCCTCCAAAGAAATTCCTCGATTTTAAAAAGAAAATTTACTTTTACAATGGACGAAACGTGCGTCGCGTGTCGTCTCCTCGACTCGACTAACGAGAATAAACACGATTATTACGACGCTTCGTTCGCGATTGTTATTAATCCTCGAACGAAAACACGCGTATTCGTATTCGTATTTGTATTCCGTATATAATACAAATAAACGCGTTTAAACGAATGTCGTCGAAACGAATGTTTACAATTTCGAATTGGAACTTTATACTTTATACGCGTCTCGCCGCGTCGAAATTACAGGAAATGGATCGTAAAACGTAGACGTAACGCACGTAGCGTAATTTCGTTTCCTTTAAGCGACATCGAGTAAATCGATAGATCCCCCTCCCTCCCCCCCCGTTCCTCATCGCATTCCATCGCATTCGTTTTCTTTTCGAAACGAATGGCCGAGAACGAAGGATGATCCCCGATGTGGAAACGAATGTCTTCGTTTGCAGGATTTGTCGTACAAGGATAAGCATTGGCACGAGGCCTGTTTCCTGTGCAACAGGTGCAGAGTGTCCTTGGTGGACAAACAGTTCGGTAGCAAGGTGGACAAGATCTA